CAGGAGGATCGCTTGAGCCCAGGAGTTTGAGGTTGCTGTGAGCTAGGCTAACATCACGGCACTCTAGCCTGGGCAACACAGTGAGACTCTGTCTCAAAAAAGAAAAACTGAAACTTTAGGTACCAACTTGTTGGAGTAAGAAAGAGTGACTTACACATTCTTGTTTATTGTACTTTTTATAGTTACAGTTTTTCCTCTGCATAAATCTTGGCAGAGATAATTCATAGGAGCATAACTCCAAAAAAATACTTGGAGGAAGGACCCAGAACAATGAAATAATTATTGGTTTTGAAAGTGAGCCATCTGGAATTTCAGAGTGTGAATTAATTACTGTATATTGTGTTTTTTCACCCTTACGTATTCCCTTACTTGTTTTCTTCCCTTCCTTCCTAACTTCCACCCTCCTCCTAACACACAGTATTCCCAATTCTCTAGATTTTTAAGTAAAAAAATATGTGTAAGTGCTATTTTATGCCTTCGTCAACATCATTTCCTATCTGGCAGGCTATTGTCCTTAGCAACAAGAGCAAAAATGAGCCTGCGACGCAGTAATTGCAAGAAGAAAGAATAATCCTTTTTAACGAAGGGTTAACTATTCTTGTCTTTCCCATGGCTGCATAGTGTCTACGAATTGTTACGATACCAATTGTTGATATCTGTTCATTTCCTCAATGGCATTCATGTGATGAGCCTTTATATCAAGGCTGTCCTGACAAAGTTTTACATTTGTTTTTGTAAATTGCCTCATTAGAATATTATACATCCCAGTAGAGAAATGCTCTCACTATACACACGCACTTAAGTTTTCAGCCCTATGAATACGTATTTGGCTGATACATGTTCATTTAAAACCCATTCAGATTTTCACACCTGGGGAATTTGGAAAGAACAGTGTAGAAGTCATCCAAAATCTGCACCACAACCGGATTCATCTTTGAAAAAGATTAATGAAAAATACAAACTGAAAGTCACTTTCAATAATACATTTAACAAAAGAGAATGATTTTCTTAAGAAATCTTTTTTCTATAACCTTCAATTTTCCCCTATAAAAGGATAACATTTTCTCGTGCAACAGCAATACATTGAAAACAAATACTTCAGCTGTTTGTGAAAAGAGAGTTGTTTTTAAAATAAAGTTTGAATGAGAATCTGGGAAACAGATTTGTCACTTAAAAACATTAGCCTTATGTAAAAGAATTGTGGCGTGTCTGAAAGTTTTTTTTTTTTTTTTGGAGACAGAGTCTCACTCTGTTGCCCGGGCTAGAGTGCCGTGGCATCAGCCTAGCTCACAGCAACCTCAAACTCCTGGGCTCAAGCGATCCTCCTGCCTCAGCCTCCCGAGTAGCTGGGACTACAGACACTTGCCACCATGCTCCGCTAATGTTTTCTATGTATTTTCAGTTGTCCAGATCATTTCTTTCTATTTTTTGGTAGAGATGGGGTCTCGCTCTTGCTCAGGCTGGTCTCGAACTCCTGACCTCGAGCGATCCCGCCTCGGCCTCCCAGAGTGCTAGGATTACAGGCGTGAGCCACCACGCCCAGCCTTATGTCTGAAAATTAATACAAAAGAAAATCTAAGCAAATTCTAGGAAAAAAATGCAGAGTATAGATAGATAGAGCTTTAAAAAAGACCGAAACCGGGGTGGGGGACCTGTGGCCTTCTAGGTCCTTAAATGCAGCCTTTTGACTGAATCCAAATTTTATAGAACAAATCCTTTTATTAAAAGGGATGCAGCAGAGAAACATGAAGATTTTCTTGCCTCCTTTGGTGCTTAAAAACTGGATAATATTCATTTTAAACTTTTATTTAAATATAACATGTATACTAAACAGTTCATAAATCACAAGCATTTGACGTTGCATTTCTCACAAAGTCAACACACCCTGTGAAACCAGCCTCCAAACCAGGAAACTGAAAAACAGAATCTCAGAAGCCTCTCCAAGTGCATCCTTTGACTCACTGTGACCTCCTCAAGTGTCACCGCTCTCCTGACTTACTGCGCTCCTATCATCAGGGTAGTGTAGATTGTATTAGTTTGGCTGGTTTTGGACTTCATACATGTGGAATCATAGAGCATGGAGTCTGTATGTCTGGCTTATTTGTCAGCTTTATGTTTGTGCGATTCACTGGTGCTGTTAAATGTAGTTGAGTTTGCTCATTCTCATTACTACACACTATCCTACTTTGGGAACATAGCATAGCATTCTACTATTAATGGACATTTGGATAGTTTCCAGCGTTTAGCTATTCTGAATAGTACCACTATGAACATTCTTGCACATACCTGCCTCGGTGCACAAATGTACACATTTATGTTGGGTACATACTCCTAGGAGTGCAATCGCTATGTTACGGGATGTCTGTTAGAAATCTTGAATCCTTGCTGTTGTTTTTATCTTCCAGTTTTCCAAAGTGGTTATACCAACGCACACGCTCACCAGTGACCTTTAAATTTTTGTCGTACACGTCCGTGCTCACAAAGGCAGTTTTCGAAACCAGGTTTCCGACTCCAATAGCAAATGCTCTTTTCCTTTTACCTAAGTTTTATTTAAAGGTAAGAACTTGGTAACAATTCTCTTTTATAAATTCCATGATTCTTTCTAAGATTTTCATTCTTTGTTCACTCAGTGATTTTCCTTTTTTATACTGGAAAACATATTTGTGCTGAATAGAATTTAATAGGGTTAACAGTGTATCAGGGGCTTCATGTAAATATGTATCTTCATTGAATCCAGCCTCTTCTATTTTTTCTGCATGGGTAAAAAGAATGGCAGTGTAATTCTTCCAAGCATGTCCCAGAAGTTCCTGAAAGACAGAAGAAGTTAAATGGCTATTTGCCCTGGACGATACTCTGCAAAAATGAGCAAAGGAGTTATGATGGTTCAATAGAGAGAGGCAACAGATCCAGGTGTCATTGTGTTTCTGAAAGCTGATATACGAGCAGGAAGTGACGATGGGACCAAGTATTGGAAACAAAGAGAGGGAGAAGGTGGGATTTCCAAAAAAGGTCTAGTTCTCCACTTTATTTTGCTATTATAATTGATGATGTATATACATGACCTCAAAACTACATATTATCAATGCTCCCTATGACATACCTATACTTACAATATTCACTAATGATTTAAACTTGTCTCTTTAATGGAAACAAGCTGACTCTCTTAGAACCACTAAATTTCCTTAAGTCAGAGGACGTTGGTTGGCCAAGGGAATTGTCCTATCTTTTATTTATTTGTAGGAATGTTGTGTTATCGTCATCGCTAAAAGCATCTACTGAGGATTTAAAATTACATAATCTGGTTACAATCTTTCGATTAATCAGATGACAGGCAGTGGAAAAAGCTGAGATCAAAATACATTTGGTGATTTGGAACAACTGCAAGATGTTACCGTGGTTCTCATCTTCCTCACTTTACATGCCTAGAATCAGACACAGTTTATCAGACGACTTCCTCTAATGTGGTTGATAAATGTTCCCTGATTTAGTAATATGGTTATGTAATAAATTCTTGTTTGATTAGTGAAAATAAGCTGATATAAAGCAGAAGCAACAGCATGTGGCAAACTGTTCACGCAATACGAAAGGCATCTGGAAATGACCATTTAACTCTTTTAATATTTCCAAAGTTATATGAAATCATGGCGTGACAGTAAAATTACATTTTCCCTCCATTCCAGACACTCCCATTACTGAAATATTTCCAAAGCTGCTACCAGTTTATCAGAGCAAGAAAAATATAAAATGCCTAGAAATAAATGTAACAAGAAATATCCAGGACTTCTAATAATCAGAAGAAAGAAAGAAGAAAGAGCTATCATTTAGCACCAGTTATGCTCATCACTTTACAGTCTTTCTCTCTTTTGAAGCTTAACGGATTCTTGGTGGAGATGTTACTATGTCTCCATCACCACATGGGGAAATTGACAGAGGCTGAATTGCACGTGTTAGTGTAAACTCTGGTTTTAAAAAAATCTTGAAAAATTTGAAAGACAGTCTGGGAAACTATTTTCAACGTATTTATCAAATACAGGATTAGTATTTATAATACTGAATAACTGAAAAGAAAGAAAGAAGGGAAGAAGGAAATGAGGAAGAAAGAAAGAGGGAAGGAAGAAAGGGAAAAAGGAAGGAAGGAAAGAAGGAAGGAAAGGAAGGAAGGGAAGGAAAGGAAAGAAGGAAGGAAAGGAAGGAAGGAAAGGAAGGGAAGGAAGGAAGGAAAGAAGGAAGGAAGGAAAGGAAAGAAGGAAGGAAGGAAAGAATCAGGATATGTAAATCCAATATGAAAGTATTCATGAGAACCGTGGGACAAATATTTAAACTTAAAAATATCTCACGATCATGGTTACCAATGACAACTCCTGACACAGTCTGGCTTTTATCAGAGTCAGTTATTTATACATCTATCTTTACAGCTCGGCAGTGGGCTCTTTGAAGGCGAGGCCCATGTCTTTCCTTATCAATCAAAGCTTCTAGCACATTGTAAACTCTCAATAAATATCGGTTGAGTTACTTTAAAATTTATCACCATCTCAAATAGAAGGTTTAGAGTTCTATGATTTGTTTTGAGGGTTTAGTTTTGAAGTTTAATTAATCTTTGTGACACAGTATTGCAATTTCCTGTAAAGCTTCTCTTTTGCTCTGCGGTTCATTATCATGGCTTTGCCTGCACTCTGCACTTTGTTTTGTATGCAGGGGCACTCTCTCAAGGAATAGATCCAAAATTTCTCCTCATATCTGCTCAAAATTGGACAATCTACACCATGCAATAATTGCATATTTCTGCTTCTCTTAATATTAATACCTTGTTTCATGAAAATCTGAATTAACTTTTCAAGATCAGTACATTAGGGGATAATTATTTTAACAGAAAGACTCTAAACTTTACAAAAGAATTTTTCAAAGAAGTACTCTAATTAGTATATTTTATGTGCCTTTAAAACACAAATTTATTTGCAACATTTTAATCAACCCAACTTTTAAAGAACATGACTCTTGTCTAAATCTAAGTATTCATGCCATGTCAACGCCCCATTTTAGCTAATGGTGACATAGTAAAATTAGCAGACCTCCCCCAAATCCATACGTTAAAGACCTAACCCCCAGTTCCTCAGAATGTGATCTTGTTAGGAAATAGAGTTGTTGCAGATATAATTAGTTAAGATAAGGTTATTAGCGTGAGTCCCTAATCCAATGTGATTGGTGTCCTCATATTAATAAAACAGTAAAACTTGCACAAAGACACAAATACAGGGAGAACACCATGTGAGCATGAAGATGGCCATCTACAAGCCAACGAGAGAGGACGGAACAGATCCTTCCCTCACAGCCCTCAGAAGGAACCACCCCTGCCAACACCTGGATTTCAGACTTCAGCCTCCAGAACTGAGACAATAAATATCTGTTGTTTAAACCACCCAGTCTGTGGTACTTCGTTATGGCAGCCAGAGCAAACTAATTGAAAAAATTAATAAAATGCTAGATATATTAGATCTGGGCTCTGAGAATAAAAAGCTTCCTGGACCATTTGCATCGGAATCACCTGGAAAACTTGCTAAAAATGCATCAGAACATTTAGGGCTGGAGCCTGGGAATTTGAATTATAAAAAGCACTTACGCCCGTAATCTCAGTACTTTGAGAGGCTCAGGGAGGAGCATGGTTTGTGGCCAGGAGTTTGGGACCAGACTGGGCAACAGGGGAGATTGTCTTTACAAAAAAATTTTTTTTTTTTTTTAAAAACACTCCAGATTATTTATTCCTTCTGCAAATATTTATTGAGAATCTACTTTGTTCTTGGCATGTTCTACATGCATGGTAGGAACAAAGTATAGAACAAGACAGATAATATTTTCTGTTTATATCTAGTGGAGATTCTTGTGTACTAACTAAATATAGAGCTGAAGAAGGGGACAGACAGGGAAAAAATATTCCCAATTTGTTATGAGTGTTGCGATAGAGATCATGTTGGTGCTACAGAGGTGGACATTTAGGCCATTTGGAGGTGGGGGTGGAAAGTGGGGGTCAAGAGGAGAGATCAGGAAAAATTTCCTGTATGGGACGATGCCTTGAGCTGACGCTTGAAAAACACATAGTAATTAACAAGGGAATTACCATAAGCAAGCATGATTGGGAATTGCTAGCATTGGGATTTTATTTCCATACACATAAAGCCATTGATCCTTGATCACTCTCATCCTTGGAAGTTTATCAGATTCAGAGCCAGACCTGATATTCACCCAGCACAGCACTGTGTGGTCACACTGATTGTCAGACGCTGAAGTGTTCATATACAAGTTAGTAAATAGCTTCTGCCTTTAACCCTTTGAATGCCATCTCCAACCTACCCCCGATATTTATTGCTTGAAGGCTGGACCATATTTGTGATTAAATATTTTCAAAATATAGTACCACTGTACCATTATAAATGTGCATGCTAAATAAACTATTTGGCACAAACAGTCCTTCCTTGTGTTATACATCATGACATAGGATTCTTGCTAGATTAGTATTTATTGAAGTAAACGGTTTAATGTTCACAATAGTCCTTTTGTTCTTGGTTTTCTGTATTGTAACACTAATACATCCCCTTTTTGTTTCCACCAGACGTTTCCTATGCTTTCAATCATGCTCTCCTTCAGAGAAGATGAGTTAAAGCACGCAAGGACGATAGATTCGTAAGTTCCACCCCATTTACAGGTTCCTGTGTTCAACCACTGGGAAGTTTTTACGTGTTTATAATTATTTATAAAAGGATGCTAGTATCCTAAACTGTGAGAGAAATTGCACTTTTGAATTACTGCCAAAAACAGAAGAGAGTGGTTGAATTTAGTTGTAATCTTTAGGTTGATTTTTGGCCAGAAAATAGTTGAATATTTGAACTTCGTGTCACTTGGTGTATAGTCATCGTGTTAGTGGCCAAACATGTTCTCTACGGACACACAGAAAGAATAATCACAGTTGATTGATACTTCATGTAAAAATCCAAGAGCAAGATAAGTTAATGTAAGTTATCTGGTGTTAATAATTTAAATATAGGACTAAGCTAGATGGAAGTTTTACAATCAATCATGACTTGTTTGGTTTCAGAGTGCTAATGGGTACGAGTCCATTCTAGTCCTTTTGGGACAACTAGTTAGGATATAAACTTTGTTTTCCAGGAATTATGTTCATTTTCCCAGGACCTCACCAGCCCTGCCCCATTTGTTTGTGGTTGATGAAATCATAGCATCTGGACTTTTTAGGGGGAAACTGTAAAAAAAAGCCAACTATTACATCAACTGAGAAAAAATTATCATGGAACAGGAGGACAATAAGGGCCATTTTTTATATTTTATGCTATTCCCTTACTCTCACCCCACTTTAACACTCCCCATTTTCCTTCTCAGAGAGCCAAAGCCGAATGATAAGACCCCATTAGATCAGAGTCAGAGAATATGCAGCCTTCGAGATCATCTGTCCAAACCGCCACATTTCACAGATGAGGGTATCGAGGCCTTGTGATGTCAAAGGGCTTGGCCAACGCCACATAGCTGGTCACTGGCAGGCCGGGGCCTACAACAAAGCTTCCCTGTACGTCAGGCCCGTGTTCTTTCCGCTAAACTGAGCCTTCTCAGTTTAACTTTACTAATCCAGAGAGTTTTTTTCACAGATTTTTTTTTCTAAATAAGTTACTTCTTATAGTTGTAAATGGGGGCCATGTAAATTTGATTTCACTCTCATTTTCTTCTGAAGCCCATCAAGATAAACCTAAAGAAGGTTATTTCTGCAAATAATATGTTTTAATTTTAGGAGAAGACAAATACTAACAATAACAATGACCAGAGCTAACATTTATTGTGCCCGTGTTGGAGTTAAAGCATTTTCTGGTAACACAGCATGAATCCCCAAAGTAACTCAGTGAAGGAGGCGCTGCTGTCGTTCTCAATTTACCAGTGGAAACTGGGGAAGTTACTTGCCCAAGATCACAAAGCAAGTAAGTAGCTAAGTAAGGACTCGAATCCGCAGAACCCCTGTTCGTAACCTCCCTAGTGTGCCACCCACACCTCACGGTTCATTAGCCTGAGCACTTGTCACAATCTGGGCAGGGATTCTAACAATAATAACGAAGGCAACAATAATAGTAATGCGTTATCATTTTCTGTGAACCTACGGTGAGCAGGCACAAGGCCAACCATGTTGCATCCATCAGTGCTGATGCTCAGAACTCTTTAACACAGGTAAAATTGTCCCCGTTGTACAGGTAAGGAGCTGAAACCAAGAAAGTCTTAGTAACATTAATAGTCATTTGCCTGGAAAGCAGTTAGGCTTGTTTTTAAATTAAATTCTATCTAACAATCGAGCCCATGACGTTCATTTCATATTTTCAGGCCCTGCACTGGTCTTTCTGAGGCTTTTGTAGACACACTCATCATCGACATCAAAAGTCGAGTTGTTGATTATGAAACAAAAATACACGCTTGAAGCCTGCTTGCACACGGTAACAACACGTAGCACCGTAATACCGGAAGGAGGATGGACTTTAGTCACTTCCTGGGTTCAATTCCTAGTGCGGCTCGGCTGCATGCTGGCTCTCTCCTTGACGTGACTTTATTATATTTTATCAGATCCATTATTTGTGGATTTTTTTTTTAATATTCGAATGACATTCTAGATAACATTCAGATGAATTTTTCCCTTTATTTCCCAACTTTGGGGAGATGACTCATGGATATCCCGGCATTTTACTGTAAATTAATAAAGGCCTAACCCAAAGAAAAAGGGATTATTTGGGGGAAATGTTTCGATTGTCACAGCTGGCAGCCTATAACCCCTCTGCAAAATGTCGGAGTACAAATTGGAAGAGATATTTAAAGAGACAACGGGGAGGCCCAGGAAAGAAGAGGCCACTTCTCTGGGACTTGCCTTACAGACACCTTCCATGGCAGGCGTCAGCGCCTCTGAAAAGGGAGAAAGAAAAAGAGAGAAGGCAGATGCTCCGTTCTCCATTTTGCATCATCCAGGAAGGAAAAGAAATCCAGGGTGTGCCTGAGACTGGGGCCCCGACAGCTTCTTGTTTCTCCCTGACAGCTGCTCGTCCTGTTGGATATTCAGACGTTCCGCAGCTGCTCCCAATCTGTGAGCACAGACAGATGGCGGCCACCGGCGTCCGGGGCACCTTCAGGAAGAAGGTTGTAAACAGCTCGCCTGTGCTTGGGTCACCAGCGACCAAAGACCCCGGAGTAGGTCTGCAGTGCCTCCCGGGGGTCACGGGCCACCCTGAGGATGACTCAATCTTGGCTGCTGAGTTTTCTTGGGAGACACAAGTTATTTATTTGTGAAAAAAAAAAAAATCTGGATCTGAGCTTTTCCCTAGCCCAACTCCTGTCTGCCTTCAGCTCCTGAATTGGACACTGATGTAGGGACGGCAGCTCTGAGAGGAGAAGCTTTATGCCAGACACTGTTTGAGAAGACCAGAAACACGTACGAATCGAATTCACTTGTATTTAAAAAGGGGGGGCGGTGACAACATTGTTCCAATCCTAAAACTAGAAAACTCTATTTTCAAAATGTATGTCGTGTAAAATAGCCTCCTCGGCTCAGCCTGGGTCTGTCCTAGAGAACAACACTGGGACATATGGAGAGAGTCAGAGCAGCTTTGGAGAAATAGTTGTTTATGCGCTTACTGAGTTTACCAGATAGCAGCCATCTCTAGCTTAAGCTAAATGTTTATTTAATAACAGCTTTAAATAATTTTTTAAAAAGCTATCTAAAAATTATACTGATGGCATGGATACAAGTTTCCCACTACTTGATTTCTACCAGAAACCTTGTTTGAAATGCAGGCTTTAATTGTTTGGGGGAGGTTTATGGGTTTTCTTAGATTCCGTATTATTTCCTGATTGCAATCATCCTCTCTTCTTTTTTACTTTTGTATGGCATGCCCTTGGTTTTTCAGGAGTTGGATGATGAGGATTATTTTTTATATTCTTGTCACCCTAATTTTTTCCACTAGTTTCTTGTGATTACACATATGGCTTTTTTTTTTTTTTTTCATTCTCAGAAACATGCACAATTACTGAAAAACAAAACGTGTGTCTGTCATTTAGAACAATCTTATGTTTTTACCAGTTAAAGGGAAAAAAGTCCTTCATTAAAGCAAAGTATACTATCTTTCTGAACGTTACAGGGCTCACATCAGCATGGTCTGAGGTTGGACCAAAACAGAAGTAGCATTTATCACAAATTCTTCTTGAATGGAAAATGTCTGTTCTCTATTCTTCCTATAGTTTACCTGGGAAGCTTCTAGTAGACAGGGCTTCTCTGAGCTCAGTAGCTCAGTGAGGCTCCTGAGTGATGCTAGTAAAGTCCAGCAGTTAAATTTGGGTGGACTCAAGACCAGGGAATCAAGAAATGGAAGAGAATGGGGCAGCTCAATGAGCACTTTGCAGGAACTGTTAGTAATAGTCCGTGCGGGGCTTGCTCATACACCCCCCATCCCCACATACGCACGCTTCTCCCTCCACCTCCTGGCTGTAGCCTCATCCAGGACCTTAGCCTGCTCCTCTGAATGGAGCAGGACCGGCTCTGGACCGGCTGAATGAGCGTACAACTTAGTGACTTGTAATGAATGAGCAAATAGGGACAGACCACTAGGGAAAGGCGGCATATGCTATTTATGCTCAACCTGAGGTCCTTCTGGTCTTGTCATGGCGGGAACGGAGCAGCCACTGAAGCTACAGATGAGGAGACAAGCAGAGCATCTCAAATTCCTACCTTTTTTCCTAGAAATAATGCATAGCTCTCCCTCGAATGTCTACCATGCTATAAGTGTTATAAAGCCCCCCTCACACATTTTACTACTAGTGCATGGTCTTATTCGGGGTTATTTGTCTTGCCTACACCGTAAGCTCTCTGAAGGCAGGTTTATGTCTCTTGATCAACCAACAGGCTCTCTACAGACGCTCAACAGAGGGTCCAGTGACCGAAGTCTGTGAAGGAACACCCGTTTGTTGGCAAGCTGTGAGCGATCGTCCCTGTGATGTTGAGTGGACGCACGTCAGTATTTGAGTTCAGTGATCCTGAAACCCGTTTCGAAGAAATATATGGAAAGTTATGAAAATGTAGAGACGCAGGCTCCACTCTTGAGATGCTGTTTCAGGAGGACTTGGGCGAATCTGCGTTGTAAACAAACAGCCCAGTTGATTCTGATGCAGGCGGCCCGGCGACCACATTTTACAAACTTATTCAGGTTTTCAGTTCTTAAGAGTTTGAGGCTTAGTTAACCTCTGAAGTTCAGTATCTCAATTTTCCCATTCAACCCAGTCGTAAAATGACTGATCGAATTCCTGTAAAAGGAAATCGTAAAAATGACTCTTGGGAGAAATCAAGTAATGTTTACTAATGATTCTTATGTGACCAACACTTTGTGGTTTGGACTACTCTTGTAACCAGATGTGCATGATTCTTTACTATTAGGATGCCGTCCTCCAAACGGGAATAATGACATTAGCGTAACTCCATGTTTGTGTTACCTGGATCATCTGGACCGGGTAGGTGGCGTCCTGTCCGCAGAAAGGCACGTCTGCTCTCTGGACCAGCAGCGCAAGGTGGAGACCCTCTTGCCCAAAGTGACGCGCCAGAGCGTCCCTGACCTCCTGCTTCACGTTCTTCTTGCTCAGTCTGCTGTGCGGATAGCCTGGAGTGTCCAACACCCGCACCTGCAGGGTGACCTCCTGGCCCCTTCGGCGCATGAAGCTGCGGAGGTGACAGCTGCAGCCCAGGCTACAATCTTGGGTCACAGAGCATGGAGCGAAGCTGCTGAGGAAGTCAGCGCTTCCCAGCAGGATGTTCCCAGCAGAACTTTTCCCACTCTGAGTCGTGCCAAAGAGGGCCAGGTTGATAATCATCTTGCTGGGGTCTGCCATGGCTGTGGGTAAACAAAGGCACAGCATAAGCATCTGGCTTCCCCGTTCCCGCAAGGTACAGCTTCTTACCCAGTCTGGAGCACTCCAAGGACTGTCCCAGGTTTGCTTTCCCCGCAGTCACGGTGACTGCATGGAGGAGCGCTCCATTAAAGAGGAGACAGAGGAAGTACTGAAATATTAATAACAGGAGGGGTTTACAGTGGGAGGGAGAGAGAAGTCAAACCCAGATAAGAAAAGGAGGAAGAGGCAATCATTGCAGGAAAAAGAAAGAAAAACTTCGAATTACATGAAGATAATAGAAACCATGTTTAGGAGAAATATGTCAATGCGTCAGCAGGGTAGGTGAGTTGGTTTAGGAATGGGTATTGAAGTTCCTGAGCTCAGCGACGAAGCCAACAGCACTGCTTGAAAATTATTCCCAATTGGAGGAGGAGGAACAGGACGGTGGGAGAAACGGCCCTTCTTGCCTCTTTAGCGACATCCCCCACCCCGGAATGCACAAGCGGCATCTGCAAAAAATCATCTTTCCTGGCTTCCTGGATGCTTTTTTCCTATGAAATATGAATGATGTTAAAGAAGACTGCTGTTTCTGTTTACCGAACATTTTTTATAATCAGACAACGTTCTGATGAAAATGAAAACTACTTAAAATTTATGTTAGGAAATAATTAATAGATCATTTCCACGGTCCATCATTGGAAAGTTTTGTTTTTTTAATAGACCAAGTAAAGCCCAACACATTGCGTGGCTCAGGTAGGTGGGAGGAGAATCTCGAGAGAGTCTATCCCAGGTATAAATCTGTAAAGTGTGGTTGATGTTTTGTGCCGAGCATAGCCCCTTCTAGCATTTTAAGATCATCAAACATTCACTAGATTTATAAGTTCTGCCAATTGCCGAATGTGCTCCATCTGCTGATTCAGAAATAAAGATGTTTCAATATTGCATATTGGTTATTTTTGCTTGTTACCTATAACTGTATTGCACAGTTTTAAGTACCGCAGGCCTTTCTTGTCCTCTAAATGTCCCTCACCCCTAATATCCCCAGACCCCGAAGTGAACACCTGGAAGGAGCCTCACCCCTCCATAAAAAAGACACTCGTTTTGGGGTTCCCTCCACTTCACACCAGCTCCCCCGGCTCACTCAGTTGTACCAGCTGCCTGGAGAAGCAGCCAACCTGTTTTTAGCCCTGAATCAGAAGTGTCATATTTTTAAAAAATTGATTATGGAATCCCAATCAGTTTGCTGTGTGTCTCTTACCTTTTCCGGTCTTGAAAATGCTTTCTCCACAAAGACGTCCCTTGAGTTGGTACAGTTGTTCCTCGGTATGCACTTTAACCTTCTGACAGCATTACTGTACCGCTCTGGGACTGATATGTGTGCATTTCATTTAGTTAACCTGTTACCAGACATCCTATTGTAAACGATTAGTCATCTTCCTCTAAGCAGCACTGACGCTTGTGTATCACCTGACAGACTGGTAGTGTTACCTGGGCCAGATGAGCAGATGGATTTGTAATTTTAGTAGATACTTCCTGAAACTTCTATCTTTAAGATTAAATTCTTTTATTTAATAAGTAAAACTGTATCTGTAGCATAAAGAAATGCCAGATTGGTAAGTATGAAACAGAAATTAGACATTCTATAGCAATGGTTATATGTTTTTTCATTTTAGTTGTTGAAAACCGTATTACTACTACATGAAAAGTTTCAATAAATAGATATGTAATGTATGCACAATAATAGATACTGACTTCACAACGGTATTTAGGTTCATCAATACTGTTCCGAATTTTCTAAGGAAACTATTTTGGCTATTTCCATATAATTAAAATTTATTATCATGTATTAAATGATGAAATAGTTAGCATGATTATATCAGCACATACAGTTTTCATATTAATTTGTGAGAGTATATTTAAGGAAAGGAGTAAAATGAACTATAACTTGAAGTCAAATACATTTTTTCTTAAAAACGTGGGATTTATTTTCTCGTAAAAGCTCAAATTTTATTTTTTCCATATCTTAGCATATAACCCACACTTTCCAAAATACTTTTTTAATGTGTTAAGATGTAGAAACATTAGTATGGTTATATCTGGTTCATCTTCTCTTATATCTCTCAAAAAGTCTATGAAGTATGTATTTCTGGGTGAAGGGAACTTGGAGACATCTGGAATACCTATGGCCTCATGGGCAGAGAGTTAAAAAGTCTTCCTCTTGTGTGGCCGTGACAAGGACAGCATGAACTGGCTTCATTCACCTGACAAGCACGTTGGCTTCCTTGAGTGAAGCAAAAAGAACCTCCCCCAGGTGGCAGTAGCAGCCTGCTTCCTAAGAAGTGATCTCGAACTAGAATGTATTTTAATTTTCTTCTTCAAACTAAAAACCGACGTTCTTCAACAATCTGCATTAACAAATATTAATTGTGTGAGGGATTTTTTGAAGAAGGGCAAAGCCAAACCTTCCTTCCTACGTTCCTTGTAGAACATAGCAAGCGTAAGTTAGTTTCTCAGATGCTCCACTCCAAAATCAGAGTTTGAATCATTTGCTGAATACAACAGTTGAGTGTTTCAAAAATAAAGTTTAAAGTTCATAATTATGAGTTTCCATGAGATTGCAAAATTTTTAGATAATTTTTCGTATGTCTAGTGGTTTTAGATTTGAGTCAACTTAGAGGTCTTACAGAGGGGTAATTTATTAACAGTAGATGATGTTGAAAGGTTGATTGTAAATTCTTTTCCGAAATGAAAGAACAATTTAAAAAATTACCTTTTCACCGGCTCGGCTAAATATAATGTAGTAGGGATGAAAATGTATTAAATGTAAGAAATGTTCAAGGGTACTCGGATAGCTGGCTCCTGAATTCCTCTTAGGAAGAAAACTGCCTTTGGGAGAAGAGTTTGATTCGCTGCTTGAGCTAGAAAAGGGATCCGGAGAATATGAGCTCAACTCACAGCAAAGTACTGTAGTAGCCGGTCTGCTGGTTATGGGGGAGAACCAAGAAAAGAGTAGGGAAGGTCAGGCTATCAAAGGAGCAAGGGAGAGAGGGAGGAAGAAGAGAATAAGAACTATCACACTACAGTGGGGCAGGACACTAGATCTCAGTGCTGGAAATTCTGCTATTTTAGCAGAAATAGCTCATGTTCAGTTCCAAGTGCTTTGCATTTCTGAGATGTAAAGTTAGCCACACGCACAACGCTCTTACGCGAAGGTGGCTTTTTATTTTTGTTCTGTTTTTGGTGGCTGTTTTGCATTTTATTTTTTAAATTTTATTTTCATAGAAATTAATGGAAAGGTCTGAGGCCTACCTCTACGTTGGTACAGGACAGGGACCACACACGAGGGAGATGATGGGATGACATCTGAATTAGAGTAATTCAGAAGAGGCAGGAGGTGGAAGCTAGAAGGACACTAGTCCCTAAGAACTTGCAGGAATCTTTGGGAGGATTTTATACTTTCCATAATCCGTGAGATTCAGAGATATTTTGGAGTAAGAGTGACTCTAGCTGACAGGTAACTATTGTATTTCAGATTTTATACACACACATACATATAGAGATGTATACACATACATATAATCACATGCATATTTGTGTGTTTGTATGCATATATGTGTATATATGTACATATAATTTATAGTTTGTGTCCATATTCAATCAAATCGTGTCTCTATACTCAAACAAGTTTTATTATAAATAGATCTTGACTTACAGCAATTTTTTTTGACTTACAGCAATTTCATTAGAAGGGACTCTCACAGTTTTAGAAAATTCCAATTTCCATTGGCTCGAATTATGAACATCTTGCTCTGATGACATTTCTTTTCATAATAAAGAAGCTTTTTAGCATATTGACCAGATTTTGCATTTGTGATGACTAAACGGCTTTAACCTTGGCTAACACTGCGCCCAGCTGAGAGAACACTGACAAGCTGGTCGAGGTTCGTGGTGACTTGATTAACTCAGCCTGAGCTGGTTTCAGAAGAAGGCATGAGATCTCACCATTGGAAAGTTCGGGACACTGGTCAGCAGTTTAAATTTGGTGAACAGATGGTCTTAATTTGAACGGTCTTAGTTTGAAGGTTCTTGGAAAATTTAAGAATGTCCATGTCTGGAAAGAAATATTTATGGGAATGGAAGTCTTCAGTACAAACTTGGTTGGTTTCATATATTAAAGACTCTACCAGTCATACCCCCATGCAGGACACTTGTGATGTTTTTGTTTTGGGTTTGTTGTTGTTTGATTGCTTGCTTGGTTTTAGTCTGAGTATTTCTGCACATATTATTTTCCAGATTATAAACGCAATGTGTGTTTTTCAAAGCATTTAAGAAGAAGAGAACAGTGAGTAAAACAGCATCACTTTTAAATCTATATTTCCTGGGGACCATGGGACAGGGGCTCCTTTTGGGGACTGACGTAGTAGGTAGATTTCTATTTTCAAACTACCCACGAACGCCCCCTTATTTACTCCTTTTCTTTAACAATCTCTACTGAAAGCATTGCGCAATCACAAGGATAGGTATTAATAACGGGAGTATGTTTAGCAAAACTTCCATGAAGACAGTTACGCTGAGCAACTTCCTGGAAGTGATTCTCAAACAACTTTAAAAAATTTCTGCCATAGTAATTTGACTCTTCTTGTGTCAATTGTGGTAATTTACAGTATAATCAACACGTATCTATTTTGCCCATATTTTCAATTTTTTAAGATATAACCACCTTCATTTCTGACACTAGATCTCTTTTTTTTATTCTGAGGTGGCTAATATATTAGGTTTGGCTTTCTATACTTAATTATAAATGTTTTCTCTGTATGTGTATATGTACACAATTAACTTTTGTACTTTTATAGTTTGAAATGGATTTCCATGAACATGAACTAAATTTACAATCTAGTGTTTTGAGGATATCAAGATTTGACTTATAATAACTAAACTTTTGGCCACCAACTCTGGGACAATTAGGTTGGAAACTGAGAATCAGGTATATGCATGTTATC